ACGCGGGAAATCTCGGGAAGCATGTCAACTGGACTTCACTTCGATACACTAGTCGAACGAGTGGCACTTTCCGCCTTTACGTCTTTGCAATACGATCGCAAGAGTACTCACTATAACAGTTTTTCTATCATATTTACTCGATCACAGGTATTCCATCACAGATACACTATCATAGCAGGTATAGATGGATTAGCTATGACATAGCTACTCCATCACAGTTACTCTATCACAGTATATCCATCCACCATATATTCAGATCAACGCAAAATCTCTGCAATAACTTTAGGAAGTACTTGTGATGAATCTGTTGAATCTGCGCGTGATGATGATCTGCTCTCTCGGAGCAGGTTACATTCCCATGGTGACCATCAAAAAGATATATGTCATATCGGAACTGGTGTATATTTTCAGAGGCAAGCTGCAAATAAATTCATGTCATGGTTGAACCATGATGGTTCCTGCTGGTAGCAATGTGAGACCTTTCCAAGATCTTCTCTGCTTTCAGTAAAACCAGTTTCATCGCGCGGGCGTCTATGCTGTAACCCCGATGTATGCCTGAGTACAACGAGTTTCGCGGCAGCACGCGTTACGGAGTTCAGCTTCGTCTACAGTAAATTCGACTGCGACGAGTTGTAGGAATCAATTGCTCTGTCGGTGGGGCCGATTTTGGGTCATATCCTTCCGAATAGATCCAAACTCGATCTCTCGAATATCAAGAACGAAATGTGCTGAAGCTGACCGATCAAGTTGAGAGCTCGAGATGCTCGAAACTCGAGCATGTGAGCCAACTTGAAAATTCATTGGGACAGTGATAGGCTACAACTCATACTATGAGTCTCATAGCGTATTCAGCTTTCGATGCTTAGCGCTGTCTGAGCAGTTATAAAATTTCCATCAGAGGGGACGAGTTTCCCCAAGTTACCTCGTTAGTAACGAGTCGTTACCTTGAATTTCAACAGTTGATCTTTATTGTAGCGTTAGGATAATAGAATCTCCGCGCAGAGGAGAGATTTGCCTCACTTGCATGGTATTCGAGGAGTAGTCACAGTGATTACGCTGACCGAAATGGGTTGTTTGAAGGAACTTTCCGGTCGACACTTTCTCTCGCGGTGCCCTTTCGTCACGAGAGTTTCGTGGACCAGCCAAGCCTAGTCGGAAATACGGCAACTGCTGCAGGTACACAACCGGATTGGTCAGGAGTTCTGAATCTCCTGGGAACTTTCTCGATCATTTGAACAAGTTTTCTCTGCGGAGCGCACTCTCTACACTCACATGCTGTATATCGATCATCTGTTAGTGTATCGACCGATCTTCATCAGTGGATTTTGGAACACTTGCAAGCAAATTCAGCTCGGATTCCGAGCCTCGGAATTGTGCAACGAATCTAATCAGGTTTTTAAATTGTTTGTCGAACTGAACCACGCCAATCAGAGCGGTGCTTCCAACACACACGACGCATGCCATCGTGTCAGAAAGTAGAACAGCTCCTTTTTTCTGGGAGGCAGTTCCTGACCTTGACACTTCCCACTAAACGCACAGACAACTGTATAAGTATAGAAAGATATGACGACTAAGTCAAAGAGGGATAATGAGGGGTGAGGTGGAAACAAAAAAGGACTTTTGTGGGAATACCACAAGACTGTAGGTCGGTCTGACCGACTCGGTCAATGTCCATCACTCATGCGACTCTTAACTCCTCATTCATTCGTCAAACCTGAGCATGGAACTGTATTCAGTATTATACAAGAAACATTCACAGAGAATGCCATGGCTTACCATCTGCACACCAACAACTTGGAAAAGGTGTTCTTGGGGCGCATACGCAATTATGGGGGCATTTCCTACACATGTCACTAGCCAAAATCCTTGGCTGCGGAATCTGCCTCCCTCCAACATCATCGTTTACTGTATAGGCAAAGCAGACGAAGGCAGTGACGACCAACACAAGGTGGAAGATGCTTTTCATATATATGGGGAGTAGAATGTAGTGCGTGAGATTCGAGCCAGAGAACTGAGAAGAGGCACTAGACCATAGAGACTCGCATGTGAACGCGTTCAACACTCAACGTGACTAAGCGCCATTTCGCACTGATCGAGTGCTCAGCGAAAAACTGAGGAAATCTCCGCACGGCTTCCGCTTATTGGACACTAACAAGCAACCCGGACGCTCAACCCGCTCACATATTGGCGGACAGAAAATGGGTACAATGCTAAATGAGCTGTCCTTTGCAGACGATGTGACCCTTCCATCGAGCACAGTAATGTGGAATACGAAACACATCACTTACGTGCGAGAAGACTGCTCACGCTCTGCCCACGCACGCGTGAGCAGAACGTACGAAATGTAGGTCTTTTCTAACAAGTTCCAAAACTTTGGAACGCAACTTCACATCTTCACAAAACCGGCCTGGATTTGGAAAAAACTTCCCAATCTTAGCCGAAACCCACTTATCAAATACTCTGCTTGATACGATTAGGGCTGTCTTTGGTAAATTGAACGTATCTCACGTGCATGCGTGAATCGAGCTGCATGTGCACTCCAGGACCTCTGGACCACACGTGCCACTCTCTTGCATTCTCTCTGTCGAGTTTAGAGTCGGGTCTGTCTGACAGTTCCCAACATACTTCTATGTGGTTCACCGTCGGAATTCTATCTCTCGTTATCGTGGCTCAGGATGTGGTCAGAGGCTCGAACCAGGTGACTGGAGTTGATGACATCGAGCAAGCCTTCCAGGAGTTCATAAGAATGTGAGATGCATCGTCAGATTGATAGCGTTAGTTGGCGTACAGCCACGCAGGTCCTGCTCTATTTCAATCTCACAGGTATAAGAAGAAGTATGGTTCGAAGGAACAGTACGAGGTTGCGAAGGCTGC